TGCCAGGACTTTCCCGGTCAATCCAGAGACCGTGGAAATCCTGGATGAAGATGAGCCCCAAGACAACCGGTCTAAGGGGAAGGAGAAGGAGAAGGCCGGTCGCCGGGTGAAGAAGGTGGCCACCACGCACCCTTCCTATGCCAGGAAGAGGGCAAGGTCAGACCCTGAGCCGGCCTCCCAGACCATTGAAGAGGCTTTTGTCAACCTGGGCCTGAGGCTGAAGGAGGCAAGGCCTCTTCTTATCCCGGTCGGATTAGACTTTTTTCCTTTGTAATGGTTTAACCGGGTCCTTTGTTTGTGCAGAAAGGGGAAATCGGGCCCCATGCAGTTGAACAGCTGGGGATGGGATCTCCTTCGGAGATTGCCCGGCTAAGGAAGGAAAAAGAGGAGATGAACCTGATTTTGAAGAATCAGGCAGATGAGCTGATCCGTCTGTCTAGTATGGCCGGGACAATGAAGGCGGAGATCTACCAGCTGAAGGAGGAGAACGGCCGGCTTATGGATGAAGTTTCTGAGGCCAAGAGGGAAATGGAGGAGAAGGAAGAAACCTTCTCCGGCCGTGCAGCCGCCTGGGTTGAAGAGAACAAAGCTGATGCTGCCCGGGTGATGACGGCGACGCCAGAGGTGACCATGGAATCCTTCAAGTTCCTATACCGGGAACCTGAAGGGAGAAAAATGATCACTTCCATCGGATCCTTTGGGTTCAAGAGTGGTCAGAAAAAGGACCGGATTGCCTCTCACCGGGTACTACTCAAAAGAGACCCGGGCTTCAGTGCTGCATCCTACGGCTTGGCTCCCATTCCTGAGGAAGAGCCCACTCCCCCTTTCCCTCTTGAGTAAAACTCCCCGGCTCGGACCGGTTGTTTTGTAAACTGGAAACTTCCTTCATTTCCCCGGGAATGCCCGGTGTAGCTGTAAAACACTTAACATTCCTATTTTCTCTGAGTGCATGTCTGTTTTTTGTACCGGTTAATCTTTCATATCTGCTTGCTTCGTGATTGTTAGATATTCTGACCGGTAGATATATTAGGCCACTCCTCAATTGTTTTCGACCGGTAGAACTTCCAAGTTCTTGATCACTTTATTTGAAAGTTCAGCTCGAGTGACTTTGACCGGTTAACTCCAACTTGATGGTCACTTTGGAAAATGTTTGACCGGCTGGATTTCAACCTGTTTTTGAACACCTTCGTTCTTGTTTTGAAAGTGAGGCGCAGTTTGACCGGTAGGTCCCTTCTCCACGGTCTGACCGGTGAACTGCTTCGCCTTGTGGAACTTTCGAAGTTCCGCTGTACCAATACCCAACCGGGGTATTTCTTTTTTTTTTTTTTTGACCGGTAGGTTGTAGATGGAGCACCTGTAACCTAGTAATTTCTTGAAGTATCCTTAACCGGTAAGAATACTGGAGATTTAACCATGTTCGAATGGTTTCGAACCCTCTCCAAGGTTCAAATGCACCCTTCTTCCAGGGCCCCCTCTTCCGGGTGATTAAGTCTTTTAATGGCCCTTTGATTTCTACCATCCCGGGAAGGCCTTAGCTCACCCCCCCGTTCAAGTCTTCCCTGAGAAGGGGGACATAGGATGCGCCACGGTGGACGATCCCCTTCTATTTCTTTTAATGGGCATCTTTTTAGTTCCCAATCAATTTGACGGCGCCGGCTGATTCCCCGACACCAGTCAAACCTCATGGGCCCGTGTAAGTACGGTTCGAACCCTCTTCCAGGTCCAGCCCTCTTGCAGGCATACCCTCTTCCGGGCCCCTCTTCCGGGTTTT